CAATTCAGTACAAAAAACCCTGAAGTAAAATAAACCTAAAATAAACCTTTTCAATCTTTTTTCTTTGTCAAATTTGAGTGTGGCAGGTTCAGAAAGAGATTATGAAATTATATTCGGTTTTAGGTCAGGTTCAAGTTGGGCTCACCAAATTTTCGCTCGGGCCTGTTTTGAAAGAAAATAGCAGCTTGACCTAAACTTGATATGATATATTGTTCATTTCTTATTTTATTTTCTATCTGAAAAATATTTTTACCTGTAACGGTACAAAGTGAGCACATGGTTCCTGACGCACTGAGCAAATATCAATTCTCTTAACTTGATTATCATCCTTCTACAAATCTGTCTCCTTTATTAACAATAAGCAGCCAGGATGTAATCTACAGTTTTCTTATGGATGGCCTTATTTAAAACATCTGGATATTGTTGTGAACAAGTCAAGATCAGTTGTGGTTATAGGCAACAAACAATCTATAATAATAATGAAGCATATGATAAAATGAATCCAAAAGCAAATAACTGTCCTCAAGACTTAATAAACTTGTGTAACCTCTGGAAAGTTTTAATCAGAGGTTAATGCACGGTCCAATGAAGCATGCTTAGATGTTCTTTATGGGAATTAGCAGCAAACTGTCTGGAATCGATCAGCCTGCTTGAGTCAATCTGTCCACTGTGCAATTACCTGCAGCGCCAGGTGCCCTGTTTGAAATCAGAGGGAAGCTGTAAAAGAGTTAAAAGAGTAACATTAAAAGAAGACCCAAAAGCACTTACTGTATTGACAGTTCCTCCCCATGTACTCCCCCGGGCACTCGCAGGAATAGTTGGCAACCAGATCTGTGCAAACGCCCCCGTTCTTGCATGGGTCCCTTTCGCATTCGTTAATATCTGAAAGAGCCAGAACCAAAAGAAACGGTGCATTCATTTATTTGAAACAGGCTCAGGCAATTAGAAAGACCCCATCCTCATTAGAATGCATTGGTAAGGAGAGCATATTGAATTTTTCCTGTGAAGCTCTCACAATGACACTGGTTTCTTGAAACTAATAAAACAGAGAGATCCTTGGGAGACCATTAATGATACAATACAGGTTCTCAAGTGTTAAGAACAATTAACCCAGTGTACTTTACATGTACTTTAAAGAATTATATACATTGCAGTGGTTTACAAAGTGGGGCCCACTGTTCTTGCTCAGTTCTGCAGTTTGCTGGACCATGTTACATATATCATAGGATAAAATTAATAATATATCAACAATGGGTTTGTGAGAATTAAGAATTAAAATGATGGCACTAATTATAAAATTTCTGAAATATTATTAAAAAAAAGATTGTCTTTGTCAATCTGATAAATTTTCACTGACAGGGTAGAGGTCGACTACAGGGCTAAACAGAGCACGGTCATTCAAAAACGTGCATCTGTTCACATGAAATGTAGCCAAAGCAGAATAAATATCAATAAACATTAATTATGCTTATGTCAGAGAGAACAGTTATGTAATTGTTGGATAATTAGAAGTTTGTGCAAAATCGTACAAACTGCAGCTAAACCAACCCATATTGATACATACTGCAGGATAACCTACACTAAATAAAACAATAGCAATGACACAAATATTGCATCACTGACAGTATTTTTGCAATGAAACTAAAACCCATCAGTCTCTCCACTCAAGTATTACAGAGACACAGAGCCGGGCAGAAAAGACTATTAATATGATCAATTGTCTCAGAAATATCATCTACTCTGCAGCCACCTTTGCTCTGTAAATGCGCTCTGAAACAGCTTTACTCTGATTGATTCATCTAACCAGTTAGAGAGGGTGACAGACCCCCAACCCCACCCATCACACCAATTTGCACGCTCCTCTATTACAGATATAGATAAGGAAGAGGAGATTACAGGGATAGTTGAGGGGGGGGGGGGGAGGTTTTTAGCACATTTCTAATGATTTCCAAACTTGCCTTTGGCAGCTGCCATGTGCGACTTTTAATCCTCTAAAAAAAATCATCTGTGACTTCTAGATGTCATGCATACATTAGTAGGCTTGAGATTTAAAAAGCTTCAGAAAGTGAAACATGATTAAAGTAAGTCTGTCATGGTGTTAAATCTCTCTGAAGGCTCATCAATAAAATCTGTGATAGTCACTTGGGAATATTTGTAATTTCTATAAATATCTCTGTTTTCCTTGAACGTTTCACTATCCAGACAAATACAGTCATGGTCTTCACATAATGGTCACTGAGGTACTGTGACTACAAACAATAGCTTTTTTAATCTGCACCCGAGTGGAATACCAAAAAAGAAATAAATGAAAAGAGAAAAATAAAAGTGGGAGACAGGCACTGAGAGAAGTGACAAATGTTTTGTGATTCACCAAAAAATGCCATGACCCATGAGACAACTTCATTCGTGGGAAAAGATGTTTGATGAAATTGAGCTGTAAATGTTTCCCAAAAGATGATAAAGACAGACAAGGTCAAAACCTAATATATGTCTGGACTATACGCTGTGAAGATGGACGACATGACAGTTCCCCATAAGTGCAGCCAAAGCTTTTTGATCATGCTCTGTTGGCTGTCTACAGTATAGGTCATAAATCCTGCCTCCTGCATGTTAGTAGATGGGACATTGGCCAAACTAAAAAGTTGAAGTACACAACAAATATTTTTTTCTCAAATATGGTCATTTAAGTAGTTTTTCGTTTTAATTTATTTAAAGCTATAAAAATGGGGTGAAGAGGCATTACCACGGCTACATCCCCTGATCACGACTTGCAGACCCAGGCTCCAAATGCGCAAGATGCTAGTGTTCCTACATTTTTGCTTCATTTCTGGAGAGTGGGAGGAAGGGGTGACAAACTGTCCATCTTTATACACAGTCTATGAGCTGGACAGCATCAGGTGAATGTGTGAAATTAAGGACATAGTTGAAAATTGTTGTGGAACAGCTGTTAACAACTAACTTCATCATGTCATTGACGTTTGCATTCATGTCAGCTGTATTCACATATACAGTACTCTAATACAGCTCATTAAGTGGTTCTTGTATGTACATTTGCCTGTTTCTGCTGTTACCCGATGGAAAAAGTTTGAAATACTAAGTGAAACACAGCTCATTAAGACGACCTAACAGTCACAAGCCATTTCCATGCTGCTGCTGAGCACTGATAATCCGCAGACTAATTCATGTGAGAAAGGTCAGAAGAAGTCTGATCTTGTGCTCTCTGGGCGTGTTGGTTGCTCTCCTACAGAAAGCAGCTGAGACTTGTACAAAAAGTGGAAAAGCAACTCATGCACACTAACATGCTGTTGTGGTTCAGCCGAAGAGTCATGTGGGTTAAGCGAGCACATTTCAAGACAAAGCTTACTGCAAGACCTCAATCTCAATAAATCAAATAATGTACATGAAACAAAAGTAAAATACCAAAGCTGCAAATGTGCTGTGGCTTATGTGTTGAACAGATTAGATGACATACATGTGCTAACCAGCATGTCCTCTGTGTTGGACAGTTAAATGACATACATCTACTAGCCAGCATGTCCTTACATCTGCGTTAGATCAGAATTTGTCTATAGTTCTCCGGGGATCATGCAGTCCACCTGTAAGTAATGACTGATGCTGAGCGAGCTATATTTATGGCCATGTTCCAGAGAGAGAAATTGTTAACCCTGTTTCCACTGTCAATGGTGAGATATTAAGTAAGACAAGTTGTATCTGGTAAGTAACTAAAAATGTTGAAAATCTCTGGTTTTAAAAACAAGAAGTAGTAGTAACAAGTATTTTTGAAGCAGAATAGGTTTTCTCCTTATTCTGTAACAAAATCAACTGTATCAATGGATTGTGAAATAAGTTTCAGGTTCGTAACCTAACCCTATGCTTACCCTCACTCTTATCTCTGACCCTAACCTTAGTGACCAACATGAGAAGCCTGGTGTGTAGCAGGCAGTGGCTTGTATGTCTGCTATCTTTACAGATCTTGTCTAGAATAGGAAAAACACTCTCCAATATGCCCCAATATGTTCTCAGACGCTGCATGTGTACTAACATACCTCACTGCAGAGACACAATAAAATGTAAATACGTACTGGTACTGGGACACAAATTATTTCATGTTCTTAGTCAAATAATAATGACTTCATTCCATTTTAATAATCGGACAAAAACTATGTATGAGAGGAAGGAAGCCACTCTGAACAGCATTAAACAGTATCTGACTCACCGGATGTATGTTGGTCCATGAAATTGAATGAAATCGTTCAAATTGAATGCCTGTGTCTTATCGTATGTTTCTCTGTCAACTGTAGCTGTGCTTTGATGAACTAGCACAGGACAATCTGACATAATCACAAATCTAGAAACAGCCGGCACGTCCAACAGCAAACGAGAAAGTAGCCTCCTACTGACAACATACTATTTGCACACAATGAATAAAACAACCACTTGTCACAAGAAGACATACATAAAACATTATTACGGTATATAACTGCAATCACTGAGATTTTTTAAAAATATTTAGTTTCAGGGGCCTTACAATCCCGTTAAGAACCACTGCTAAAAAAAAAACCAGTTGTTTACCCTGTTAAGAACAAGAATGACTGATCCTTATTCAACAATTCAGCTTTTCAGTTATTTTAATGATTGTAATCCCCAACGTCCACTTATTGTTAGTAACTATGACAAAAACAATTAAATTGTGAATGCAATTATTAATTGAAGGTACAGTTGGCCAACTAAAAACATCATTAATACTGTCACAGCAGGGTGATGTGGGTCTTTAGTAATTGCCTTAGTGGAACACTCAAATTAAAATATGATAATCAAGCCACTTGTTAACATTAAATAATTGAATCCACCGACCTATAGATCTGTGAACAAATGTTTCAATAAGAAAATCTCAACATGAATCACAAAATGGAGCTCTCGCTTTTCAATGAACAGTTAACACTTGAGTATATGTGAACAGCATTTCCTTGATAGTCTGTTTCCTTGTGTGTCACAGGGCCAGAATAAAAGAAACAGATACATCCTCAGCTCATTCTGGGCACATAAACTGCTGTTACTTCACCACCGCAGTCATGCCCACAGCTGATATTAATTCTGTTGTTAACCTCTCAGTTCACATCCTGCTTTGTTTCCACCGCTAGATTCAATGACAGGGGTGAGCCGAATGGGCCAGCCACTCAAACAGCCTGAAGCGCAACATACCACAGAGAGAAGAAAACAGCGTCATCCCATCGTGCAGTTTGCCCCCTTTTATGAGAGGCCATCAGCCCCTGGGAGATCAGCACAGGGAAAGTGAGACTTAAAAGTGCTGTATTGCCAGTAAATCAGGTGGGAAAAAGGGGATTACTTCAGGGAATGCAGTTAATCCACCCGGTAAAAAAAAAAAAAAGAAATCCAGAGGAAGGGAGAGGGGGAGTTTGGAGAGGATTGGGGGAGAGAAAAACTGTGAAAGAGAGGAGGATGGAAAGAATAAACAGAAATCGAAAGGTGTGCTAGCCCAGTGGTCAGGTACATTCAAACAACTTCTTTAGCACAACAACAGTCACGTGTCCAAGGCGTTTCCCCCACTGATAAAAGTTGGAGATTACCATTTAAATATGTCATTAAAGCCTTAAATGTGGTGAAACAACATTTTGCAAATGATGTCTTCAGTTTAATGAGAACGGTGCTATCTCGGTTATGACGATTTAACAAGCCACTCTGAGTAAACATTTCTACAGAGGATGGACCCAATAAAACTACATAGCGCACCATTTAATGCAATCCCACACACTGGCTCTCCAGTAATACTACTTTAGTGACGCTTATTATGTTCAGGTTTTGTTGAAAATGTGCCAGAGAGGTGCTGATTCATCTGAGACTGAGGATTTCATATATTTGCG